AAATTATAAACACCCTCCTTAAACCAACAAATTTTGCTAAATATCCTTTCAGGTAGTTGTATTAATATCTTCAAATTTCTAAATGACTCAGTTTACTTTCAACTTCATTTCAGTCTTTATTGTTGTGTTGTGATAACCAGTGGGAAAAATGGCAAAATAAATTGAGTCGTGGGTAAAATCTTATTCAGATTTTGTTGTAGAAGGTGATAACCAGGTGTTTTGTAAAACATGTTCTAAAATTGTAAGTACTTTTTTATTTTATACTTTATTTTGACCTTTCACAATGGTAAATCAAACGACAGTAAAATATTATTTCAACTCACAGTTTAGAAAAAAGTAGGGCAACTTTACAACGTACGCATTTATTTAATTTAATTAAAACTTCAACATCTACAGGAATTTATTTGTTTTAGATCACAAAAAAAAAAGTTTCAAATCGACCAACACGCGAAAACACCCTCACATATGATTTAATTAGTAATGTAAAAAAAATATTTCTTAAAGCTCCTCTAAGAACTCAATTGTACAAAGAAAAATTTCCTGAATTACAGATGCGACCGGAACCTGTGATTACTCCGTGGGGTACCTGGCTTAAAGCTGCCTTTTTTACGCAGATAATTATGAAAAATTAAAGAAATCATATTTGATTTTGATGATTCATCTAAGGGAATATCTAATACAAAGAAGTTGTTTCAAAATCACATATTTCCAAAGCAATTAGTGTTTTTAAAAAACTATGCATTTGTACACAAAATTATATTAGATTTAGAACAAAAAAATTTACCTTTGGTGACTTCCGTAAATTTAATTAAGACGTTTGAATCAGAGTGTAAAAATGTCCAGGGCGATATTGGAAAGACGATTTTTCATAAATTTTCAAATGTAATTTTAAAAAATGAAGGATTTATTGTTTTAAGAAGCCTTGTTAATATTTATTCTGGTAACTTTGAAGATATTAATACTATTCATCCAGATATTTCAGGAAAATTTAAGTTTGCACCTATTACTTCTGTAGATGTCGAAAGGAGTTTTTCTTTGTACAAGTACATACTTACTGATAGGAGACAATAATTTAATACAGATAATTTAGAAAAACATCTAATTGTTCATTCGTTTTATAATAATGTTGATTTGTAAATAAAATTAGTTAATAATTAAATAATTATTAAGTATTAGGTATATTAGGTATTGTAAAATAAAACAAATAATAAATATTAATAAACTATTTCGATCAAATACCAAATTACTCTTATTGCATATGCTCTGCATATTTTTTAATTTTTTACGCATATATTGAAGTATTTTGCGGCATATATATGCGCATATTTAACTACTTTTTGGGTGCATATATTCCTAGGTCTATTTATTACACTTATACTCTGAATGCGCCACTGCATGTTATTTTGGAATACTTCTAAAATCAAATATATCGAAAACATATCTACCAGGAGGACAAAATGTCTCAATCCTACACCTTTATTTATTTTTTGATGGATAATTAGGAGAATTACAGCTTCAGAACTATTTCCCTTTAAACAGGTTGGTTAAATAAGTTTGTAAACATGTTACCCATGAACTCTCCTACTATAGATTGACAATGCTGACTTTTAAATATTTTTATTTATAAGAATAATAAAAAATGCTTTTATTAACATTATAACTAGATGTGTGTCAATTGGCAGGGTTCAGTGTTTCTTAAAGGCAGATGAACTACCTTTAAGTAACTCTGCTCTTCCACCCAACCATGTACATTTAATTTTTGTACAAGATTATTTACTTAAGGAGGTCCTTTCGCCACACCTCTCGCCTCAAATGTTAAAAAAAAGTTGTTAGATTATGACTAAAATTAATTTTTTTCTAATAGTCCTTATTTATATAATACTGAACTTTTAACTATACCTTACCTTGCAAATTTTTGAGAATTTTTTTTTAAAATGTTAGTATTTGTACAGTGCCTCACGAGAAAGTAAGTCCTCAACAACAATTCTCGAATTATACTATTCTTTATTGATAAAAAAACTAAAAATAAGGTTTTTGAAATATTTAGATTTTGTTTTATACAATAAAATATATATAGTAAACCGTGGAACTTATTGAGAAATTAATATTAAAAAATCACAAAAAATTTTCAAGTAACTTAGTTGAACATTTTTTGTGATTTTTTAATAATAATTTCTCAATAAATTCCACGGTAACCTATATATTTTATTATAAAAAACAAAACCTAAATATTTCAAAAACCTTATTTTTAGTTTTTTTCTGCTCCATCCAATCAATAAATAATAGTAAAATTAATTATAATTCGAAAATTGTTGTTGAAGTCTTACTTTCTCATAAGACACTGTACAAACACACACATTTAAAAAAAAAATTCTCAAAAATTTGCACGGTAAGGTATAGTTAAAAGTTCACTATTAGATAAATAAGGACATCTACTATTAGAAAAAAAATTAATTTTAGTCATAATCTAATATTTTTTATTTAACATTGGTGGCGAAAGGACCTCCTTAACTAACTAAAAAACTAAAATAGAATGAAGTGGGGTAAGTGTAATCAAAAAATCATAGTTACACTTGAAACTTTCATAAAAAGATAACTAAGAGATATATTAGGTTCGTTTTTTTCTTCAGAACATAGCTTATTTCATTGTTAAATAAATGCTATATACATTTATTTTTTACCTGCCTTCGGGGGTTTTTTTTACGAAAATAAAAAACATGTTCGATAATTACACTTTCCCCAGCTAATGGAGCAAGTATAATCACGGCTTGTATCTGCCATATGCATAACGTGCGCATGGATGTGGGGAAAATTTATATAGAATGTAAAATTATGGTTTTAACAAAAAAAAAAAAAAATGAGCAATGGGGCAATGATGGAAAATAAAAAAAAGATATTTTTGTTCGAAAAGAATATTAGTCAGGTATTTTGGCAAAACATAATGTACAATGCAATTTTTTCATTTTACGTTATATGAAGTAAAGGATAATGGGAAAATGAATTCTCCTCTTCGTCCTAAAATGGTTTCACGTAAAACTAGCTCTATATCTGATGCAACCACTGTGTGATGATCTTCTTGTCCAGGCCAATGAAAAACTGATTTATGAAAAAATTGGTCTGATTTTTTTAAAAACATAGTGGTATGTTGCGAATCTTCATCGAGCGCTGTTATTTGACCAACATAGAAAAGTATACTTTCTTTCCTTTAAATGAGACCAGAACCCAGCTTCCAACTTTAGAGTTTTCTGACCCTTTGAGTATATAACAATTAATCTTTTGTTAGTGAATGTTCATCTACCTCTAAGTTTTTTGATTTACTGTCACTTAAAATTTCCGGTTCGGCTTCGTCTGAAGAGCTCGATACTGTTTTCTTTTTTGATTCATTCTTAGCTTTTTTTGCAAAATCTTTTACTTTCTTTGCCTCGTCTTTCGCTTTTCTTTCCTCTTCTTTTTCTTGCTTAGCCTTTTTCTTTTTTCCATGTTTTCTTTGGATGTTATAATTTCAGCTCTCGCAGCCACCTCTTATTCTTTTGTTTTCGTTGGGGCGGGGGGATTGTTATCTTACGGTATCCAGCAATAATTTCTCAATTGATACACATCTGTTATTTGACCCTGCTATTGGTTCTGGTCACGGTTGTGGTGTCTGCTGCTGCTGTTGCTCTCTCGATGGCGCTTCATGACTGCTTGTGCTTGGCCCATTAAATTGTTCTGGAATGGCCGGTTGGGAATTTCTCAAACGTTCTTCATATTTTCATAGAGCTTCTGGATCATATTTCGTACGGTCAATGACAGATCTCTTGAATGGGTATATTTCTTTTTTACGAAAGCCTGATATCAGTAAAGCTGGATCGGTGTCTTTCCAAATGGTGCTCACTAGTATAGAAAAATATTTTTAACTCTTACATGTTTTCTTTGGTACTCCGCAGGATTGGTCTTTCAGGCACTATGTCGGGAATGAAAGTTTTTTTTAAGATAGTTAACGAAAATTTTGGTTTCCATCCAACTATTTGACGACGCAGCATAAGAAGTGCCAGGAAAGGTGAATTCATCGGAAGCCATCCAGGTATCCCATATATTTTATCCTTTAAAAACAATTAATGGAGGCACTTTGCATCCATTTGCCTTGCCACCCATGGGTACTGTTGTACTTTCTCTTCCAGATCCGGTAGTTATTCTTTTTGTGACCAACAATTTTAATTTTACTTGGAACGAGGGTAAAACTAGTTTCGTCAATGTTACAAATCTGACTAGGCTTATCTTGTAGGTTGTATCTATCCAGGGTTTCTTTTAAGATGTCAACATATTTTTCAAACATAAATGGATCATTGGCTTTTTATCTGGCATACTCCAGTCCTTGTGGCTTCTCTAATGATAGTCGGTGTCTTTCTTTAAAGTCTAAAAACCAATCTTTACTAGGTAAATGGTGTTTTTATGTTATTTTTCCTAACATACTTTCCTACAAATTCTGTGACACTTCTTTCTGCTCAGCCCCCAACTCCACTTCTCCATGATTTTTATAGCTTCCACTCATTTTTCCTCATCAACTGCAGGTATTGCGCTAGGTCTTCCTTTAGGTGTACTTTTTAAACCTCGAGTTCCTCGTAGGTGTTTTTGAAGAGTAGAAAATGGGATATTATACCTCTGGGCAGCACCACCAATAAATACTGAGATTGCCATGTTGGATGTTTCTAAGCGCATTTCTTAAAAAGAACAGCTCCGTAAGAAGGATCTTGTTTTTTTCTTATACACTCTCACCATTTTAAATAAGGAACTCACTAGGAACAGTATAAACTTTGTCTTTGGTAAGTATTTAGGTAGGTTCTTTGGTTAAAGTTTTTAACATTGATTTTATAATTTACTGACTCATTTAAGTTTTTGATAAGTATTTACACTGATTTTTTACACATGGTTCTTATTAGCCTGAAACAATAGGGAAGGTTATAAACTTAAAAGTCATGGTGGGCCTTGCTGGGGTAAATGTAATCAGTGATTACATTTACCTCAGTTTCGTGATTACACTTACCCCATATGCCCATTTTGGTTGGGGTAAATGTAGTCACTGAAATATATATTTTTTTGTATTATCCAAATCCAAATCTGATGATAGATTCAGATTCTTTCTCCAAAATTTCCTATAAAAGCAAAATATTACAACTATATTGCAATATTTTCGGTATTACCGAGGAAATTAAAAAAGTTAATGACATTCACCAAATGAGTACAAATAGTCAAAATAAAAAATTTGTTATTATTTCAGAACTGGAACTAAAAGAGGATAATAAAAAGTAATATGGGTATAAAAAAGATAATATTTTCGAATTTTGGACAATAAAAGTTCAAAAAAGTTATGAAAAAAATTACAGATGGCCTGATTACACTTGTCCCATGAGTAAATTTACCTCATATCACCCTACTAAAAGAGACATACTAAAAAAAAAAAAATCAGAGAACAACAAAATATATAATATATGAAGAAATTGGTGGTTTCATTTAGTAAATCATTCTTCAACTGTTTCTTAAAATTTAATTTATGACTGCAATTACCATGTTTGTCATGCAATTAAAAAGATGAGCGATATGATATGAAAAAGAATCTCTGTAAGCACGTATTTGATGTAATGGTATGGTTACTTTATTTTTCCATCGAATATTGACGTTATGTACGTCTGTCTTAAATCTTATTTTGTTGTAAAGATACAAGGGTGTTTTCTTAGAAATAATTTAATTAAACTGACAGAAAGCGTTCAATACTCGTTGTTGAATTGTAATTAACCAACCAATTATTTTAATATGGTGCGAAATATATTCCCTTTTCCTAATGTCACAAATTAATCTTACACATGAATTTTGTAACTTCTGTAACCGATTGGAATCAAATTTGCGGATGATTGGACCTTAAACCACATCACCGTAATTTAAGTTCCATATAATTAAACTATTACATAAAACCATTTTAGAATTAAGTCAGTAATTTTTTGTACGAATTTATTAATTTTAAATTATTAAACCCTCTTTTAATAATCATAGATACATGTGTCGAGAAATTTAAATCATAAGTTTTTACACTTGTCCTTAATGGACAGTGGCTCATCATTTACAATAATTCGTACTTTGTTAAGGCATCTATTCCGCTTCACTCGTCTGCCAAAAAAAAAAAAAATACGTGTGGCAATCGGGGACTGCCGCGGTAAAGCTATTGCATAGCATTTTTTATCAACTTATGCAATTATTATTATTATTTATTTATTTTATTTATGCAGTATTTTTTTTCTTTGATATTAATTCAAGTTACACTTATTGAGCGTGGTGACCGATAAGAAAACAAATTTTTATTTTATTGAATAAATGAGAAGTTATTATTGTTTAAAATATTTTTATTACCTTACAACACATGTAGGTTATTCAGGAATTTTTATCATTAGAACTATAGGTTTATGGTAAATGAAATAAGAAACATAAGTTTGAGACTTTATATCCTCTAAATATCTAGAAAATACCGCGTCAATGGTGGTCCCATATTTTGTTGTGGATTCTTGTGGATCATTATTCATTTTCAAATTCAATTTTTCCGAAATTGTGGCTAAAAGAGATAGAATCAGTTATGAGCAGTTAGCAGCTAGTTTACACGCATACGTCTAGTCGCACGCAAACACCTGCCGAACTGAAACGACGTTAGACGATGCACGGATTTCAACGCCGCATCGCTGTGCTGGTCGGAGTTGGGGGTGTTAGGTTTATTTTCGTTACGGAATTTCTGTTTCGATTTTTCAGTCTTTCGATTTCTCGATTTTCCGATTTTTCGATTTTTCGATTTTTTTCCATTTTCTTGTATTGAATAAATGAGAAGTTAATATTGTTTAACGCCGCACCGCTGTGCCGGTCGGAGTGGGGGTGTTAGGTTTTTTTCGTTACAGTTTCGTTTTTTTTTTCTTGATTCGGTCGCCGCGCTCAAAGCCCGCGATAAAAGCTATGCAATAGCTTAAAAACATTTGATTCGACTTTTTAGCATATATAAAGAGTCCTATTTTAATAGAGTATGAAACCAGTGAATCCAAATCATTATTGATTATATTAATATGGCTTGAGCAGTTTTTTATATATTATATATTATAAACAGTAATGGACCGAGAATCGATCCTTGGTACATCCCATTTATAACACTGTTCCAATTGGATACTTTTTGAGATAACTTAACTCTCTGAAAACGATTTCTAAATTCTGAAAATTCAAATAATAATAATAATAATAATAATAATAATAATATGATTAATTATATCAAATGCCTTTGAGTAGTCAATTAAAACCTAATTTATTTTCATCAACTGCAGTTGATATATCATCAGTTACTTTAAGAATTGCAGTTGTACAAGCCGGAAGCCAGATTGACATTGCGAAAAAATATTTTGGTTTTCTGCATACTTACGTATTCGCTTATCAATAACTTTTTCAAAACTTTTAGATGAAGTAGATAATAAACTAACAGGACGAAGATCTTTAAATTCTTGCAATACCTTACATTTTGATATTGGTATGACTTCTGCCACTTTCCATTTCGACGGATAAGTGGAGTGTTTTATGCGATAGTTAAATATATGTTCAAGAAATGGTAAGATGTAGGGGCAACTGTTCAAATTCATTGTAATACTGATTTGATAACATCCCATTGCCTTAGACTTTATAGACAGTATATAGCGATACATTTCATTTTCATCTGTTAAGTCGAAACAGAAATCGTTATAATATAATTTTTGTGTTTGATAATATTGCAAAAGTTCATTATCATGACAGTTTAGTACCCAGTAGTTGTACATATCAGTCTTCTAAAAAACCGACCTATTGGCCCACTGACCCAACTAAGATTCTAGACTTAACGGATTTCTTCATTCTGAGAAAAAATTCACTAGTACCTACCTAAAAGAAAACTTTGATACGGTTCTACTTTCATACTTACTCTAATTTATAATGTTATTCAAAAAGAAGCAAAACCCACTCAGCAAATTGGAAAACCAATTGGGAAGGTTTTCAAGAGGATTAACAAATACAACAGAAAAATACAATTGACCATAACACTAAAATGAGCATGGATGGAGAAACACACCAACAGTAAGAAGATTAACAACTGAACAAAATTACTGTCGATATAAGAGAACTGGTGCCAGAAAAGACAAAACTAGGAAATAAATGTCACATGACAAAATCAACAGAAGATAAAAATATATTTAATAGGGCTGCCCAAAAACTAAGAACAGAAATGCCTAATTACAATAAAGATTTCTTCAATAGATACCTATAAAATAGATCAATAGAACAGCTAACAGATGACAAAGAAACGATTATTCGCTCTGTAAGAAAACTATCTTCCAATCAGAATAGCAGACAACAAATGGACAAGAATATTTTTGCTGATTAACTGTGTAGGTAAAAGACGCTCCATCGTGCATAAAATACGTTTTATGTTCAAAGGAACGTCTTCTAATATTTCAAAAAATCTATCAGATAGAAATTTGTAATGTATTTCGCCATTTATATTTTGTTTATAAATATAGTATCCAATTAAATTTTGTCCCATTGTTGTAGCCCAAACATTTATTTTAAACGATTACTGGTAACGATATTTGATCCTTTTAGCTTTTGATTTTCCTCACAAATGTGAAATGTGAGAAACATACATTTTCTGGTAAATGTCGCTTGCGGAAGGATAGAATGGGTATTTCTTCCGAGTGAAGTCCAGGTCTTGCAGAATCTAGATCAGGATATGTTTATTTGTGTCTATTGTTCCTATTCACGCCTTTAGTATTAACGAAACAAAAATAGCAGTCATCTTAATGGTTTCGTGGTTCCCTCCAAACCATTGGTACACCAAACTTTAGGCATTTCCTCTTTACAATTGTCCACTGTCGCAAATGTTCAACACATGTTATACACACGACATGCGGAGCCCAAGGTCTCCCAAAAGAACGCCAAAATCAGAAAAAGTATTTCTACTTTCTGTTAAAGCGTATTCACCACATACATAATAAATAAATTATTTTTATTTTTAAATTTTTTATCCACCGATTGATCCTCTTGCAAGTTTTGTGGAGTTTTTCTGAGGTCTGCGTATTATTTTGGTCAACCACCATCCGCAAATGTTGTTATTTTAATACAGTAGTTTTAGTATAAGCTTCTCAAACAACTTTGGTATTGTTGCCAACAGTGATATAGGTCTATATGATGTCACTTCATTCATTTTTGATAATACATTTTAGTACCTATATAAAGTTAGCTTTAAAAATTATTGGGGATAGTTATCCCCATTATCCCCCCCCCCCTTATATGCTCCACTATTTGTGAGGTATGTCAATTTAACGAGAGTCTTTCTTGGCAATTTATTTAATACTTCTCCACTAATAAGGTCGTCCTGGTGCCTTTTGTGGATTGATATTTGTCTTAATTTCTTTCGCGACCTCATTGGAAGTAGTATCTAGCCTAATTTCTAGTGTTTTCATCACAAATACTCTCAAAGATATATACTGATAAATTCTTAAGGATGAATTTCTGAACCCACTCGGCTTGTCATTTTTCAAAGCTGAAGAGAAGACATCGTGCCAGATTTGTTGGTTAGGTGTTTCTGACAGGCGAAGAAAGGTAGAGAACCTCAAATTTTGTCTCGGAGTAAAATCTTTATTTTATATAACCATCGAGTTATCCTATTAAAGGGGATTCTAGAATACTGCAGATACAATGCATTGTACTAGGGATACAATTTACAAAAATGTATTACACGGAAAAAAATGTGACTAGAAAATTTTACTACAATGTTGTAGTAGTAGACTTGTAGAAAAATACTTAACAATTTGTAGAAAATTTTACTACAATTTATAGTTAAAAACTATTAATTATTGTAGCAATTGAATTGTCGAATAAAATGCTACAGCAATAGGAAAGAAGTCCACAATGTTTAGTATATTTTACTATTGTTTGTAGAAGTAGAAATTTATTACAATTATCGTAATTACTACTACTAACTTCTGTAAAAATTTGTACAAATATTAATAATTATCTCTACAAAAAATAGTA